ACCTTATCTCAGACACAAATAGTCACAGATGAAACCTAGACCTTATCTCAGACACAAATAGTCACAGATAAAATCTAGACCTTATCTCAGACACAAATAGTCACAGATGAAACCTAGACCTTATCTCAGACACAAATAGTCACAGATGAAACCTAAATCTAATCTCAGACACAAATAGTCACAGATGAAACCTAAATCTTATCTCAGACATAAAAAGTCACAGATGAAACAAATATCTTATCTCAGACATAAATAGTCATAAATAAAACATAGATCTAATTTTAGACAAATAGTCAAAGATAAAACCCAGATCTTAGCTCAGACTTAAATAGTCATAACTAAAACATAGATCTTATTTTAGACAAATAGTCAAAGATAAAACCCAGATCTTAGCTCAGACTTAAATAGTCATAAATAAAACATAGATCTTATCTTAGACATTAATAGTCACAGATAAAACATAGATCTTATCTTAGACGTAAATGGTCACATATGAAACCTAGATCTTATCTCAGACAAAACAGTCACAGAAAAAACCCTAGATCTTAGCTCAGACATAAATAGTCATAGATAAAACATAGATCTTATCTTAGACAAAAATACTCACAGATAAAACCTAGATCTTATTTTAGACATAAACAGTCACAGATAAAACATAGATCTTATCTCGGACAATATGTCACAGAAAACAAGATGCATTTATCTACACCATAAATAAAACAAACCTACACCTAATCTGAGTTAAGGCAATGAGTTCATCAATTTACAACTGGTTTGAGGTTTGAACAAAGGATCAACATCATGCAACACGAGTAGTAACCCATAAGTGCTCCGTTCTTCTTCTAACTCAAGTCTGAGTCCGAAGAAGCTCAGCACAGTGCACAGGTTCTGTAGCACCGGCAAGGATCCTAAAATACTTTGGGTAGATTTTTAACTCCAAAATTGTGCCTGGACAGCGCCGTTAGGCTACTCTTTTCGATTTCCAACTGCTAAGAGATTTATTTTTAATATTCACAACAATGCATACAGGCCTCCAATCTCATTAACCCGGAGACGAGGAGGAATTACTAGAATTCCAAGACCACATGAAAAAATTCAAGCCCTTACCGGGGATTGAACCTGGAGTCTCTAGCACGGCATTTTTATTGTTGCTTGAAATCTTATCAGGATAAGAGGAATTTCTGATAAGAAGAATTATTTATTGGGTCTCCGGTGAGTTCTCCGTATCAAGTCTACACTGTATAACAATAATTTAAGGCAAGCCAAAATGGAAGACAAACATCTGAAAATTCAAATCTGGTCTTGGATCCTGTAAACGGTCATGGGAACTGCAGTAATCAATAGCTAGCATCCTTGTCTGCCGGTCAGTGCCGTAGAAAAGGGGGGAGGGGGTGCAGGCGGATTGTCCCTGGTGGTCATTACCAGAAAAGGGGCAAAAAGGGGGTGTGTGTCGGTCTGTGTGTGTGAGAGAGAGACAACAAAAATGGTCAAAATATATATATTTAACCCTTTGAGTCCCAAGGAACGCATCATACGTTCATAGGTTCCTACCTAGAAGCACAATAAACGCATGATGTGCTGATTTTATTACTTTATATACTACTCCCCGGGGCCTGTGATGATATACCCCCTGGGACTAAAAGAGTTAAATAAAGTTGTATATATTTGTTTACCTTTCATGAAAATGACCCAGTCAACTGACAAGCCAGCAGTTTTCTTCAAAGACTGAAATTGGCATGCCATGTTTGTGATAAATAAATAAACTATAGACAAGAATCTCTCTCTCTCTTCCTCCCACTCCCTCCCTCTGTGTGTGTGTGTGTATGAGAGAAAGAGAGAGAATGTGCGCATGTACATGAGCACACACTACAAAAACAATAAAACAAACACACACTACAGAAAAACTCATACATTAACATACAGATACCTATTCCATAAAAAAAAGGGTTCAAAAGGTGAGGATCAACTTCACTCTTTCAGTTGCTTGTTAAACATCTCTTTCCTCAGTGTGGCTTGTTACCCAAAGTACAGTCGAGTCTGGATAAGTAGAAGTTGCAGCAACTATAGGGTGACCCGTTTGCTATGAAGCTGAAACTAGGATTACCAGAAGTTGCAGGAACCTAAGAAAATGCTTCCACTTATCAGGATTTCTGTTTATCCAGACAGCACACATAACAGAGAAAATTGCCGGGACTAAGCTGGTCATGTCGACTTAACAAAATTCAACTTTTCCAAGTTCGACTTAAGTGGACTCGACTGTATCACTCAGTTTTCAGACAATTGTCAACACATCAAGTAAAACTAAAGCAAAGGACCTTTTTCTCATGCCTTCAGGCTATTATAGGTATAGGGCTAGACCTATATTTTATGATAGACCAACCTACATTTCAAGGGTGATATCGTCAGTATCACGCCGGCCGTTCAACAATTTAACTAGCCTATATTTTCCAAAACATGTTGAAAGGAATGCAGAATACAATTTTATGAGAATTAACATTACCAGGGGATGCAAAAATCTAAAAAAATATTTTAAACTGCTGTGATTTATTATAACTCATGGCGCCGTTTACAGCCATTGGTATTCGACAACACTGAATATATAGATAATCTATTTTAAGCGAACGAAAGAAGAAGAAGAAGAAGTTTTCGACTGGCTGGAGCAGCTGCATGGCACCATACGATTAGAGAATTTATTTCAACGATATTCTTTAATAAATTAACTAGCCAAAACTTTCCAAATTCACTTGGAAATGAATGCTCAAATAAATCTTATAAGAATTAACATTGACTGGGGATGCATTATGTATTTAAATATATTAAATTGCCAAGGTCAGAAACAACTCCCATGCCATTTGCCTCTCAGTTAGTGATTTCAGAATTATATTTTGGGATCATTTTCATCACTCTGCAAAAAAAAAAAACTTTCCATATTTATATGAAAATGAATACACAAATTGTATTTTCAATTGTGTTTTACTTTATAGTGTTTACCAGCAATTGCTTTCTAGAAAAAAAAAAAGTTACTTACATGTATTTACCTCTTAGAATGACAACTGATATTTGTCAACACATGTACAATATTTCTGCCTCTGAAATGTATGTTTTCAGCTAAGCAGGCAGAGACCAAAATTTTGTTATCAGTTCTGGTTATATTTTGATACTGAAACATTTACCAACATCAGGTTCAATCAGAGACACACTTTTTATTTATTTACTAGGGGCACCACATGCTTTCCGTCGCTGTTTGTTTACACCGACAACAATATGCCCATGTTTCTGTGCCATACAGGAGACGTGTGTATATATATCAACATCATCATGTAGCTGGTCCTTTGCAGAACGTTGCTCTTATCACAGTCTGCCTGAAAGAAACTCGGTCTCTGGCCAGTTCTCCCGCCTCATGAACTTTCACACTCAAGGAGTCATATCCTGTGCCCATCTTCGTGTCAGTCCGCCCCTGCCCCTCCTTCCCGGTACCATGCCTTCTGCTATAATTTTTTCCAATCCATCGTGGCACTTGATATGACCAAAATATTACAGTTTTTGAGAAAGGATGCTGTTTATTAGCCAATCTTCCTTGATGTTCAGATCTTTTAAGATGTCAATATTTCTCATCTGCTTTGTCCAAGATATTCTGAGAATCTTTCTATAGCATTTCAGTTCAAAAAACCCTATTCTCTTTCTTAAGGACTGTATACATATAACATTCTACAATTCTCATTTTCAATGTGTTGTTGATCTCTCTAGCTGTCAATAATTAGAATATACCTATTTCTCTTCTAAATCTCAACATGACTGATTCTGTCATACCACTTAATTCTGAACTTTCATTTTAATGAATGTTTTCAGTTTATCAGCGATTATATCGCAGGTGGCATAATGGTTGAGAGCCTTGGCCTCTCATATGGGAGACCCATGACTGAATCCTCGTTTACTCAAAGGGCAATATTTTGAAACTGGGGGACGTCACAGGCCAGGCACCCAAGCCCCAGCATAGAAAGATCATTAATACAATACAAACTCACAGAGCATGCTGAGAAAGGTGAAGACAGGCATGCTCCGTGCAGAGTGGTAAGCATCACTTCAAAGGTCGCGGGTAGTTGGCATCCTTTGGATATTTTCTCTAGGTTATGCCGGTGTGTTAGGAAATGAACAGACAGATAGACTGGCGGGTTCTGCACCACTTGGTGGTGAACTGATGTATGACAAGCTGGATGCTGTGAGGGCCCTTTGAGAGCAAGTGAACAGTGCCGAAGCACAGATAGATCATTACGGTCTGAGGAGAATGGCACTGCGAGGAGTTACATGTGAATCTGGCCGACGCTCGACATTCAGGGGAAAGGCGAGACGGATATACAGTCAGACAGTTACTGGTACATCATCGAAATTTTAACTCTTCGCTTGCTGCTGAAGAGGGGGACAGAGCCCTTATGGGGGTGTCCGGGGTGCTGTGATGTTGATTCTTAATTCAACATCCAACATTTAATACAATACAAATGGCAATGACCTGCGGGCTGTCATTGAAACCTCCCTGATATACACCAATACAATGAATGATCCCTCTCGTAGAGGGAGACTAGATTATTGTTTTCTAGCTTTTATTCTCTGTATCTTTTTTTTTCCTCTTTGAATTTCGACTCAAGTGTTGTGATCTCCCAATAAATATCTTGAATACACCGTGTGACTGATTTCACTTGACATACAGGTGAACTTTGACATATGCAAACACATAAATTAAATGACTTATACAAACTTATTTACGTACATATATACCCGTCTGGACACGTACAAATTTATACCTGTTTGCACACACTCTGAGCAAACATATAATCTTCCCCTCTCTTACAGGCTTCCCTACTCCCTCTCAAACACACACATACACATCTGATATACGTTCATGCATGCACAAATATATACATACACAAATCAAAGCCACAGTCAATCAATGTATCTATCAATCCACCATGCATACACAAACACACACATACACATTAAAACTGTCAGTGCCACTGTAAATGGGGACTGGTGTTTCCGTCCCTCCACATGGGTGACTCTGCTGTAATTTCCGCCCGACACATGGGACACGTTTTTTCTCGGTCAAACCAAATGGAGACACACTGCTCACAGAATATATGCTGGTGACAAAAAAGTGACAGAGTTTTTGAGAAAAATGCTGCTGTGCTTAATAAAAAATACCATAAAAATACCAACTATCAGTAACTTGTTCTTCTTATAGATGATGCCATGCTAAGCTGGTGGTCATGTTTTTTATCCACAATCCTTTATCTCGTGTATTTTCAATCAAATCTGACAGATGATCTTCCACCACATGATGTCAAACTGTCCGGTATCCTCTCTCTCTCCCCCTCCTCCTCTTTTTCCTCTTCTTCTTCTTTTTCTTCTTCTGTGTCTGTGTTTTCTGTTTGTGCATTTATGTCTATGTATGTGTGTATGAATTACGTATGTATGTTTATGAGTGTGCATGTATGAGAACGTAGGAGTTTGTATATGTGTGTGTGAGTGTGTACGATTGTGTACACATGATGTGTGTATGCATTATTCTATAATTTATATTTCTTTATTATATCCATAACATGCATTATTGATAACAGGCATTGGTACTTTGAAAAAAGAGCGCATAGAAGGGCCAAATGTCAGACGGGCCTGCGTGCCCAATTTGTAACCCTTTGAAAATAAAGTTTGTTCGTTCTCGGTCTCCCTCTGTTCTGCGCCGACTTTCCCACGGTCAGGATGTTCTTCAGTTTTCTCCTTCTCATGACACAGCCAAAAAATGCAGACTATCTCCAATTTATATGGGCAATAAGTTCTCTTCGTGAATCAATTCCTTTACAGACATCTTCATTACTCTTTTTATCAGTCCAGGCTGTTCTCATTATTCGTCTGTAAAAACCGCATCTCCTGCACTTGAAAATAATTTTCACTAACTGACCAACTGTCCATGATTCACTTTCGCATATAAAGATAGGATTTATGTAGCTCTCATATCAGTGGTTCCCAGTTACCTAAGACCTTGCAAAGCTCTCTAATTTTGGAAGTCCTGAAACATACCCCATACGTTTTAGAAGCCATATGGAAGAAATTGCAAATATTAGAACCTCAGAACCATTTTTTGCATTCTAAGGTTGAGTGACTGCTGTAAATAATACTATGGACCGCTTACATTTGTTCCGCTATCTCAAGTGATCCATAGACCCACAAATGGGAAACATTAACTCTTTGAGTCCCAGAGGGTTTAGCACCACAGGCCCAGGGGGTAGTAAGAAAGTAATAAAATCAGTGCATCATGCGTTCATTGGGCTTCTAGGTAGAAACCTATGAACGTATGATGCGTTCCTTGGGACTCAAAGAGTTAACCTTCTCTTTCTACTTCGTGCTCATCGCCTGTAAGCTTTGGCGGAAAGTTCTAGTTGTTTGTCTACCTTTAGACATTAGACTTGTTTTTCAAAACCAGAGTGTTGTTTGCACATCTGTTTCACAGATCTGAGTTATTTGTATACAGACTATTGGTTCCTTGCCTCTTAGGCAGATGTATTCCGACTTTGAAAGAAGCACTCAAATAGCTGACTCTTAAAACATGCTTGTTGTAAAGGCAGTGGGTCTATTCTTGCTTTTCTCATAATGGGGCCCTATAACCCACACGGGGAAAACACTCATTCAAAACTTTATAATTTGGCATAATGTAGACCAGAATCCTCCAACTGATGGGTCATGGGTGTAAAATGATGTTGATTACATTACCCGCTGCCCAGCCCCTGAGGTTCACTGCTGCAAATATCACCCGCCTCCCTTTAGCTCACAGGTTTGCCTACTCTTTCCAGTTGGTAACACCAAGTGTTTGCAGGTCTGTCTGGACATTATCCCTCCATCATCTTCTTGATGTGCCTCATGTTCTGCAACCATTCATCTTCCTTGTGTATAGTTTTAACCTCTCTGTCATCTGACATTCTCTCAATATGATGAGCCATTTTAGCCTGCTAGATCTCATAAGGCAAGTAATCAATCACCCAATGACTTGTCTATAAAGTAAGGTTAAGCATTATCTTATCCCTTTATTATACCTTTCAATGTTTAAAAAAAAATTACATTAAAGGAATTTCCTTGTTACTTTATTTCTTCTTTCGGATATCCTCCGACTAACGGTCAGCAAAGATGGCGGCCGCAAAATATCCTTTCGAGCCACAGTCACGTGACTTAATTTGCGGTTTTCCGGCGACTATCGCCACCACGTGTCCCCCATGCCGCTCACGTGGCGTGGAATGGGGCCAAAGTAGATGGCTAGGACCCATGAGCAGCAGCCGCGGTGTGCTTGTGACCACTAGTGCGCAGCCGTCATCTTTGCCGACAGTTAGTCGGAGGATAGCCCTTCTTTCATTAACTTTCTTTTCATCCCTCTGTATTTCTTCTACTTCTGAGTTTGTCCTTAAAATGGTGATTGGCACATTGTGTAATGGTTTAAAGTTAGGCTGCAATATCTGTGCCTTCTGGCCCCAAACAACCAATTTCCACAAACTCCTAATTGGGGGGAGGGGGGGCAGTGGGTCTTCCCCCCCCCCCCCCCCCCCCCCCCCCCCCCACCCAAAAGATACCCAGAACTCACATGGGAAGAACCTCTGCATTTGACTGTTTTCTGTTTTCACAAAATTCAACACATTTTATTTTATTAAAAACAAATTAAAGAAAAAAAAAGGATGAAAGAGTTAACGCAACCAATGAAAAGCTATACCAACAATGAATTCAAGAAGCTTAAAATAACTGAACTCAAAACTAACCTTGCACGGCAACATAACAGGTTCATTAACTGTTTCCTGACAAATGGGGCAGTGATTTCCCCTCTCCAACATATCGCTGGAGCTAGGCTTGGTCCCGAATGACTGAAACAGAGTTCAAGGAAATCACACATTTGATTTCCATTTGTCCAGGACTTCATCGCTACAAACATTAGTAACCCAATACTTGTGGGCCGGTGAGGGAGCACTTTAATAGGAAACAAATAAATTGAGAAAACAAAGATGTCCAAAAAGAAACTCTAAGATGATAAAGAGGCTTACGGTGCAAGAGTAGATTCTATCCATGATGCTGAAACTTCTTCTTCTTCTTTCATCTAAGGATGTAAATACATGTTTACAGCATAGCTTGATATCTGTGCCTCTTGACCGACACATCTGTCTTCTGCAGGAATTTGTTGCCTGGGTTAACCTCCGCAGTGATATTCGAAGAACAGAACAGGAAAGAAGTGAACAATTCTGGATGTTTGTCCACACCGGGACTTTACTCTTAGTTCCTTGTCTCTCAGCCAGATTTACACCGACTGAAGGATACCCCCAGCTAGTTGACTCCTACAACATGCTTGAGGCAGTGGGTCTATTCTTGTTTTCCCCACTATAGGGAGGGCCCCAGAGTCCACATGGGAGAATGGAAGAACAAACTGTGAGCCCTAAGTGATGTATGGGCACAACAGGAACATGCTAATGCTGATGATCTTATTCAGTACATGTGCAGTTTCCTCAAGTTCTTCTTCTTCTTCTTAGCGTTCACCGGCTGTAAACTCCGGCAGAAAGTTCTGGTTGTTCGTCCACTTCTGGACTGCAGCCCTGTTCCAGAATCTGAGTGTTGCGTGTGCACCTGTTTGACAGATCTGACTAATTTGTATGCAGACTGTTGGTTCCTTGCCTCTCAGGCAGATGCCCTCCGATTTTGGAAGCTCCCAATTAGTCGACTCTTACGACATGCTTTTGGGTAGACAGTGAGTCTATTCTTGTTTTCCCTAAAATAGGGTCCCGGAACCCACACGGGGACCTCAAGTTCTGATTTACTATTTGAGCTACTCATTCATTCAACCACTGTCCTGAATATTGATTGTTGAATTAGGAACCGACATCATAGCACTCAAGACACTCACATAAGCGCTCTGTCCCCATCTTCAGCAACAAGCGAAAAGTTTAAATTCTGATGGCACCAGTAACTGTCTGATTGTATATCCGTTTAGTTTTTCCCCTGAGTTTCTGTCAGATGCCCTGCTAGCTCCTCACAGCACCATTCTCCTCAGACTGTAATGGTCGGCTATCCTCCGAATAACGGTCCCAAATTATCGTGGCCCCAACAGGGCCTCAGTCACGTGTCAATTGCCCACTTCCGTCATCTTAAATTGCGCACTTACGGCGACTTCCGCCACCGCCGAGAGTATCCCACACGCCACTCATCATGCGGCGTGGATGATACTCTCGGCGGTGACAGAAGTCGCCGGAAGTTCGCAATTTGGCGGTGGTATTATAGTCCCCGGAAGTGCGCAATTGACACTCTCTCTCTCTCTAGCATGCATGCACACACACATATATGCACATACACACACAAAAGAACAATGCCTTGCTTACCGTGTTTGACTGAAACCTCTGGAAGGAAGAATATAAAACCTGCACAGCACCCCATATAGACCATCCCTGAAACATACAACACACATATGTATGATGGATCATGGTTAATGCAAAATCTATGACACTGCACTTGGTCTGCATTTGTCTTTATTACTGAAAAAGCATCTGTCTTTATCACTGAATAAAACAAGGAAGAACATTTGTCTTTACACTGAGTAGAACATTTGTTTTTATCAGTGAATAAAACAAGGAAGAAAATTTGTTTTTATCAGTGAATAAAACAAGGAAGAAAATTTGTCTTTATCAGTGAATAAAACAAGGAATTTTTTTTGTCTTTATCACTGAATAAAACAAAGAAGAACATTTGTCTTTATCACTGAATAAAACAAGGAAGAACATTTGTCTGTATCACTGAATAAAACAAGGAAGAACATCTGTCTTTATCACTGAATAAAACAAGGAAGAACATTTGTCTTTATCACTGAATAAAACAAGGAAGAACATTTGTCTGTATCACTGAATAAAACAAGAAAGAACATTTGTCTGTATCGCTGAATAAAACAAGAAAGAACATTTGTCTTTATCACTGAATAAAACAAGGAAAAACATTTGTCTTTATCACTGAATAAAACAAGGAAGAACATCTGTCTTTATCACTGAATAAAACAAGGAAGAACATTTGTCTTTATCACTGAATAAAACAAGGAAAAACATTTGTCTTTATCACTGAATAAAACAAGGAAGAAAATTTGTCTTTATCACTGAATAAAACAAGGAAGAAGATTTGTCTTTACATTGAATAAAACAAGGAAGAACATTTGTCTTTATCACTGAATAAAACAAGGAAGAACATTTGTCTTACCACTGAATAAAACAAGGAATAGCAGTTGTTTTTATCAATGAGTTAAACCAGAAGGATGTCAATCCACCAGTAAAACAATAAGGACCTTTGTCAGATTCTGCCTTTATCAACGTGTAAAACAACAAGTAAGAATGTTTGTCTTTATCAATCAGTAAAGCAGCAAAAATATCTTTTTCAACCATTAAAACAACAAGATTTTCTTTATCAACGAGTAAAACAACAAGTAAGAATATTTGTCTTTATCAATCAGTAAAGCAGCAAGAATATCTTTACCAACCATTAAAACAACAAGATTGTCTTTATCAACAAGTAAAACAACAAAGATCTTTGTCCCTATCAATAAGTAAACCAAGCAACATGTTTGTTTCACTTGCTGATAAAGACCTAGTTCCAAATGATTGGTTGTATCTAGTTCTAAGTGAACCCACCTTAAAGCCCAGATAGACGGCCTCTGTGCTGAAAGCAAACCAAACACTGGTGCGTGTGCTGTCGTTGAGATAATATAACCAAGGCACGACTGTGACTGCTTGTCGGTAGAGTTGAGAGATCATTTCCACCAGATGATAGTATTTGCCCTGATTCAAATATGCAACGGTGTTGTTTACATCAAGAGATGACTCATACAAACATTATGACATCCAAAAACCACTCTAACAAACAATACTAACATTAAGAACTACTCAAACAAACATTACACAGACCAAGAATCATTTAAACAAACATTAACGACACACCAAGAACTACTCAACAAACTACACAAAACAAAAACCACTCAAACAAACATTACACACACCAAGATCCACTCAAACAAACCCTACATAGATTAAACAGATGATATATAAACTAATAAAGAACTACTCAAACATGAAATACACTGATCAACAACTGCTCAAACAAACACTATATACAAAGACCAACAACTACTCAAACAAACACCACATACAAAGACAAACAACTCATCAAACAAACACTACATACAAAGACCAACAACTACTCAAAAAACACCACACACAAAGACCAACAACTACTCAAAACCACACCACATACAAAAATCAACAACAACTCAAACAAACACGACATACAAAGACCAACAACAATTCAAACAATGGGGGCTTGAGTGGTCTCAGGGCATGGTGTCAACCTCAAGTGCTGGAGGTCCCGGTGAAGGCTGGGATTTTTTCACGTAAAAATCTAGTCATTTTTCCCTGGTCTCTGGGTAGTAAGATGAGAATTGTTGCGCAGGTAAAATCCCTTGGCACTTGGAAATTTAAAAGAGTAGCCTAACGACACTGCTGAGGCAAAATTTGAAGTTAAAATCTACTATAAGTATTTTCAGGATCCCCGTCGGTGCTCTGGAGTTTGTGTACTGTGCTGATATTCTTTGGACTCGGGCTTGAGTTAGAAGTAGAAAACAGCAAGTATGAGTTTCTATCCTTGGGCTATGATATTGATCCAATGTATAAACCTTAAACCAACAACTACTTACACAAACACCACACACAAAGACCGTCAACTATACAAACAAACACCACACATAAAGACCAACAACTACTCAAACACCACAGACAAACACCAACAACTACACAAACAAACACCACACATAAAGACCAATGACTTCTTAAACACCGCACACAAACACCAACAACTACACAAACAAACACCACACATAAAGACCAACAACTACTCAAACACCACACACAAACACCAACAACTACACAAAAAGACCAATGACTTCTTAAACACCGCACTTAAAGACCAACTACTACAAAAACAAACATCACACATAAAGACTAACTACTACTCAAACACTACATACAAAACCAACAACTACACAAACAAACACTACATACACACACCAAGAACTACTCAAACAAACACTACATACACAGACTAACAATTACTCAAACAAACATTACATACACCGACAATGAACTACTCAAACACTATATACACTGACAATGAACAACTCAAACACTACACACACTGACAATGAACTACTCAAACACTACATACACCAACAATGAACTACTCAAACACTACATACACTGACAATGAACAACTCAAACAAACACTACATACACAGACGATAAACTACTCAAACAAACACTATATACACAGACCAATAACTACTCAAACAAACACTATACACACAGACCAAGAAATACTCAAACAAACACTACATACACAGAAGATGAACTACTCAAACAAACACTAAATACACAGATGATGAACTACTCAAACAAACACTACATACACAGACGCTGAACTACTCAAACAAACACTACATACACAGACGATGAACTACTCAAACAAACACTAAATACACAGACGATGAACTACTCAAACAAACAATATATACACAGACGATGAACTACTAAAAAAAAACACTACATACACAGATGATGAACTACTCAAACAAACATTATATACACAGACCAAGAACTACTCAAACACTACATACACCGCCAATGAACTACTCAAACAAACACTACATACACAGACGATGAACTACTCAAAAAAAAAACACTACATACACAGACGAACTACTCAAACTATACACAGACCAAGAACTACTCAAACAAACACTACATACACCGACAATGAACTACTCAAACAAACACTACATACACAGACCAAGAACTACTCAAACAAACACTACATACACCGACAATGAACTACTCAAACAAACACTACATACACAGACCAAGAACTACTCAAACAAACACTACATACAAAGACCAAGAACTACTCAAACATTACATACACCGACAACAAACGACTCACTCTGCGCCTGTACTTCTTGCTGCAGGGTTGCATCATGGCCAGCAGAGACTTGGCTATGACTGTGAGAAATTTGATGACGTAGTCAGTCATCACCACGCACCACAACAGTGTCCAAACAGAGATGTCTGCAACCACAGCCATTTGGAAGAACAGTCTGTCCAGAAAACATAACAGAAAATTAAAACATTTATCTCTAAATCTTCTTCTGTGTTTTATCCTGAACCTTTTCCCCTGAGAAGCCACAAAACTGACACTTTCGCTTGGGTCTGTTCCTAAATAAATGTCACTTTTTTTCCAATTTGCCACCAATAGTGACCAGATTACGATAACCTAGTTAATGCTATTGGCTGTTGTCATGCTTACGCAAATGTTTAGGTCTGGATATGAATACATTTAATTAAAAACAGCATAGAGCAAACAAATTGGGTGGGGTGATTTTCAGCCAAATAGCTTCTTTAAAGTTGACATAACATTTTCCGCAAGCCTCACTAATAGGACTCAGGGATCACTCAATACATATATTGTTTAGGCTTCCGGCTTAGAGGGATAGAAGGAGTAGGGGGCTGTGTGGTCTCAAGGCATGGTGTCAAAGGATAGAAGGAAACACTGATAATTAATCTACTTTTATGACATCTTTGTCCTTTATATTTTTCTTTCTTTTTTTACTTATACACGAGGAATGGCTGGCTGAACATTAAGAACACTGGGCTATGATCTGAGAACCAGTTTTGAATCTTTGGTAAAGTGATGGATGTTTTTTCTGTCAGGAGCAAAAATCCTGCACAGTCTGTGCCGACTGAACAATCAATTCTTCCTTTTCTTCTTCTCTTCCATCTTGTACCTCATTGAAGTGTCGGGGGGAAGATGTAACATTCACTGATGAGCTCTGTCAAGAGCACTATTAAGATTGATGTTCATTTCTGTAAGCCTGTTCTTAATGCCATCACTCCATATTTTCCGAGGTCTTCCACTCACTTTAGACCCGTTGTAACGTTTTAGTGTGACTCCTTGTGGCAGATAGTACCAGGGCATTCTTGTTGGGCGTCCAAACCACTTCATTTGTTGTTCTTTGACGACTTGTAAGACTGGCTTTAGTTCTATTTCGATTCCGTATTCTGTCTTTCCTTGAAGCTCCTGCAGCTCTTCCAAGGCATTTCATCTCTGAAACAATTTGAACAAACAATGCAGTTCTAAATCATCAGCTACAAGAGCCTTCGTCCTACTCCGCCCTAAAAGATAATCAATAAAGACAGTAAAGACAGTTTATGAAATACATACAAACATGTAGGAAGACACTTAGCACAAAGAAACTTACAATTTCCACAGTTGCTGCTCGCTGAAGACATAGTACAGTACAGCAATGTTCAATATCAGGAACCCACACAGCCACAGGAGAGTGAGTAGGCTTGTCCAAGACCTGCTTTGTTCCTACAAAGACAATGTTACTTCTATTCTTTTATCTGCAACAGGCGACACAATACGGTTGGACACAACTATACCATCATCAAGATCCACTAGGGTGCACACCTAGCACTGATACTGAAGTCACTTCATCAAGTTATTCCACTATCCACAGTCTCATAATGTTAGCCATAGGGCTTGTACTGAAGTCATCTCATCATGTCATTCCACTGTTCATAGTCTTATAATGTTAGCCCTAGGGCTGGTTTTGAAGTCATCTCATCGGGTCATTCCACTGCCCAAAGTCTTATCACATTAAGCCTAGGGCTGGTGTTTAAGTAATCTTATCATGTCACTCCACTGTCCACAGTCTTATCCCGTCTGCCCTAGGGCTGGTATTGAAGTAACCTCATTGGATCATTCCACTATCCAGTCTTATCATATTAACTATGGGGCATTTTATTGAAGTAATTTAATCATGTTACTCCAAAGCCCTCTAGTTCATCATTAACATGTTAGGCAGTCCATAGCAAGATATAAACAACCAAAGCATCACTTCGTATATCAACAAGATATAAACAACCGTAGCATCCATCATCCGTACATCAACAAGATATAAACAACCAAAACATCCATCTGTACATCAACAAGATATAAACAACCAAAGCATCCATCCATACATCAACAAGACATAAACAATCAAAGCATCCATCCGTACATCAACAAGATATAAACAACCAAAGCCTCCATCCGTACATCAACAAGACATAAAGAACCAAAGCATCCATCCGTACATCAACAAGATATAAACAAACAAAGACTCCATCCATACATCAACAAGATATAAAGAACCAAAGCATCCATCTGTACATCAACAAGATATAAACAACCAAAGCATCCATCCTTACATCAACAAGATATAAACAACCAAAGCCTCCATCCGTACATGCAAAACATATAAACAACCAAAGCATCCATCCTTACATCAACAAGATATAAACAACCAAAGCCTCCATCCGTACATGCAAAACATATAAACAACCAAAGCATCCATCCGTACATCAACAAGATATAAACAAACAAAGCCTCCATCCGTACATGCAAAACATATAAACAACCAAAGCCTCCATTCGTAAATCAACAAGATATAAACAACCAAAGCATCCATCCGTACATCAACAAGATTTAAACAACCAAAGCATCCATCCGTACATCAACAAGATATAAACAACCAAAGCATCCATCCTTGCATCAACAAGATATAAACAACCAAAGCCTCCATCCGTACATGCAAAACATATAAACAACCAAAGCCTCCATCCGTACATCAACAAGATATAAACAATCACAGCCTCCATCCGTACATCAACAAGATATAAACAACCAAAGCCTCCATCCGTACATCAACAAGATATAAACAACCAAAGCATCCATCCGTACATCAACAAGATATAAACAACCACAGCCTCCATCCGTACATGCAAAACATATAAACAACCAAAGCATCCATCCGTACATTAACAAGATATAAACAACCAAAGCCTCCATCCGTACATGCAAAACATATAAACAACCAAAGCCTCCATCCGTACATCAACAAGATATAAACAATCAAAGCCTCCATCCGTACATCAACAAGATATAAACAACCAAACCTCCATCCGTACATCAACAAGATACAAACAACCAAAGCATCCATCCGTACATCAACAAGATATAAACAACCGAAGCATCCATCCTTACATCAACAAGATATAAACAACCAAAGCCTTCATCCGTACATGCAAAACATATAAACAACCAAAGCATCCATCCGTACATCAACAAGATATAAACAAACAAAGCCTCCATCCGTACATGCAAAACATATAAACAACCAAAGCCTCCATTCGTAAATCAACAAGATATAAACAACCAAAGCATCCATCCTTACATCAACAAGGTATAAACAACCAAAGCATCCATCCGTACATCAACAAGATATAAACAACCAAAGCCTCCATCCGTACATGCAAAACATATAAACAACCAAAGCATCCATCCATACATCAACAAGATATAAACAAACAAAGCCTCCATCTGTACATGCAAAACATATAAACAACCAAAGCCTCCATTCGTAAATCAACAAGATATAAACAACCAAAGCCTCCATCCGTACATCAACAAGATATAAACAACCAAAGCCTCCATCCGTACATCAACAAGATACAAACGATAGAAGCATCCATCCGTACAAAAGACGGCAAACAAAGGCACTCACCCTGACAGCAGACTGATGGATAGAATGTACAAGTTTCATGTTGGTGTAGTAAAAAGTGCCGCCCAAGCATAAAAACACTAATAACCCTGAAAGAAAGAAACAAATCAAAACAATTAATGACAAACACTAGGCTCTATGAGAGCTACTGTGGTATGGCAGCTAGATGCTCACCTGCGGATAAGAAGGTTGTGTGTTCGAGCCCAAACGGAACTGGGCTTTTTTTTTTAATGACCTTGGGGCTTCTAGGTCGACCCAGCCTTGAATGGGTATTAGATAAAGTCTTGGAAAGTAAAGGCGGCCAGCGTGATGCTGACCACATCATCCACCGAGTGCTGATTGTTCTATTAAATAAAGGTCTAGTACTAAATGCTTGAAGTCATGGAAAATAACGTTGTTTTTTTGTTTTTGTTTTTACATTTTACTAGGCTCTACATATTGTTCTTCATTTCCTCCAGTCACTTTATCAAAGTTTTTTTTTTTTTTTGGGGGGGGGGGGGGGGGGGTGTTGGAGAGTGGGGTTGGGGTTTGTAAAGATTTTCTGTGCACTGTTTTCAATGCACCGTATAAGTTGGTCTGAACTCTGTAGGCCGTCCCTGATTCAGTCATTCTATCTTCCGCATGGTCTTCCACTTGCTCTTCATCCACTGTATTTCTTCAGTGTAGCACAATGTATTACACCATTATACTAAGCCAGACCAACAAGAGGTAGGTGACCAACTCACTTTCCTTTCTTCTGTCCCTAACAAGAATATTTCTCTAAGTGTGGCCAAAATGATTTCTTTGCCTATTGTATTTCTTCCATTAGCTCTCCTTGCACTTCATGCTTTTCTTCCCCCTTGTCATCCTCTAATCAATCTTGGGATTTACACCAGCTCAAACCAAGCCTTCCTTTTCTGTCCTTTCCTGCACATTATGTCAGAACCTTAACTGACTTTTCATCTCTCATTCACTTCTCTGTTGAGTTGAGTCCAGAATTGACATCACAGCACTCGGGACATTCCCATGCATGCTCCGTCCTCTTCTTCAGCAGCCAGCGCAGAGTGCCAATACTGATAGTACCGGTCACAATCTGGTTATATGTCCTTCTTGCCTTTCCTCTGAGTGTAGTGAGCCGGCCAGACCCTCTGGTTTACACCCAGGTGTCTCATTCTCTCAGGCCATAATAATCTTGTTTCTCTACTGATTTTGTTGCTTGTTCCCGAAGGGCCTTGACCACATCTGCCTTGTCATGCATCAATTCACCACTCAGTGGTGCAGATCCAGCCAATCTGTCTGAAGGTTCATTACCCACTATGCCGGCATGGCCTAGAGAAAAGATCTAAAGTATGCTCACTACCTGTGACCTTCTCACTGAAGCTTGCCACTCTGTTCGAAGCATCCCTGTCTTCAAATTTTTTAGCATGCCTTCAGAGTCTGCTACAATTACGACATGTGTATGCACCTTGTTCTCTAGCCTCCGGAGAGCTGCAGTTACCACCTCCATTCTCATGCTAGATGTTGTGGTGTCGTATGCTAGGCTGTCTTGCACTAAAGATTTTCCATTGGCTTTCGCTATGAACTCCCAGGCACTTCTCTTTCTTTTCAACACCGAACCATCTGTATAGATAATCACTTCTCTATGTCCTTGGGCTGCCATCTATTTCTTTTAAACTGAAAATTCTACATAAAGAACATTTTAGTTATAATATTAACAGGCTTGTTAGATGTGAGTCGCATCATGTGCCAGCTCTTTTCTTCCCTTCTTCCGTGATTCTATGAGCATGATCTGGCAGGTGGAGGCAGATAATGCATTGAATTACTGTAAAGGTATACCGTGCGTAGTTACCTTCATCTCTGTTCCAGAGTATGCGGGCACTGTTGGCAATTAAAGAGCAGTTGGACTGGCTGGCTCCACCATAGCTGCAGATGGCCAGTCTATGGAGTGCGCTGACATTTTGAATAGCCTTAGAGAGAGAGGATGATCAGATGCATTCTGGGAGCAGCAAGTACACATGGCTGCTTAGAATGCCCAAAAAAAACCGGGAGTAAAGATCGGTACAGTCAGGCACAAGAGGTACAACGGATGTATGAGTGAGTTTCTTTCAAGCAGCCTGCAATGACAGCGACATTCTGCCAAAGATCTGCACATGATGGTGACACTGGACAGCTGGTGCCCCAGGTAGTGATTCTTACCCTAAGATGTTAATACAACACAATGCTACTTCTGCTTTGCCTTCACCAGCGGTAACTTCTAGTTGTTCATCCATTTCTGGGCTTTGGTATTGATCCAGAACTTGAATTTTGCAGGCAAATCCATTTTACAGATCAGGCTGGCCTATTTGTGTGCAGACTGCTGGTTTCTCACCTCTCAGGCAGATGCACTCTGACTTCGAACGAAACCTCCCTTATTAGTCACCTAGGCAGTCAGTGGGTCTATTTTTCTTTCTCCTAGATTGGGGCCCGGGAACACCTGCATACAATTCTTTTATTTTCTAAATTGAACATGGAGAAAGAAAACTAAGAGGGTTATGAAAGAAATAGATACATTATATTAGCTAATTCTGTTTCTTGGACACAGCTAAGAAGAAAAGGCATGCACCAGTCTTACGATTTCACAAACAAAAACACACACACACACACAAACACTTACCCAATCTGTGGTCATAGAGGAAATGAAGAAGAAGAAGAATGATAAAAATCCCGGACTCTGCTATCCATCTGTACAGTAGCGTCAGCTCAGCACCTTGCTGAATCCCCCCATTGGGCTGACCAGTGTCACTTCTAGCTGCACCTGGAGAACTTACTCCAGTTCCTCCTGCACCTATTCCAGCTCCATGAGGGCCCATTCCTACCCCAGGCCCTCCAAGACCATTGCCATTAGTGCTAGAAGAAAATCTACCAGAGCCATCAGACTCATTACTCTGGTAGTTATGGTGATGGTGCCCGTGACTGTGTGAGTTTGAATGACCAGAAGCACCGCGTGAAATGAATCCTCCAAGATCATTAGGGCTTCTCTGATGAGAAGATGCAGACTGGGCACTTCTAAAGAGGGCTTCAAGAAACTGAGATCTCAGACCTGAGTTGTTAGAGCTGGAGTTCATCATCCCTTCCCCTGAACCTCCTCCCGGAAGATCCATGTCTAATATGGTGTCGGGAGGTTCTGGCAGGACGGGACCAGACGACTCCCCTCCTCCTTGGAGGTTCAACTGAAGCTGATGTTGGAACTGCTGCTGAAGGCGCTGCTGCAGGCTCATCTGGTACTGCTGCAGTTGCTGCTGAGGACTGCTATAGCTGTACTGTTGTACCAGGTTCGTTGGGAAGTTTGGGAGCAGTTCCTGGGCAACGGACAAGGGTGATCTTGGAATGCGGGCCTGTGAGGAAACAAGTTTTAAGCAAGTTACTATCTTCCATAAGCTAACAAGCCTTGTTAACTGGTATGCATAAAATAATGTATGAAAGGTGGGGTTCACCCAGCCTCTATCAGCTGTCCGTATTGGTGGCAGAGCACTTATGGTTTACAACCATGTGCAATGACGTTGGTTTACATCTCCCGACCTTTTTTGTTTTTTTAATGTAGCTTTTAATGCCCAAAATATTTATTGTATCAACTAATTACCAGTAAAATTCTTCTTGGACATATCTATTTGTTCTCTTTTTATAAAAGCTTCCGATTTCTAAACACAGCCTACAGTCTTCTTCTTAAAGCACATGTCATGTGGCATTGGTAGTCATGTCTATCCACAACATTCGTGTCTCGTGTACTTTCAATCAACTCTGATACAGATGATTTTCTATGCTATGATGTCAAACTGCCCAGCATCTTTTCTCCCGGTCTCCCTCTTCTCCCCTCCCACTGTCATGATGTACTCCAGTTTTCTCCTTCTCATAACATGACCAAAGAATGTAGATTGTCTCTTTCTGATGTGGGCAATCAGTTCCCTTCCTGAGTCATTTTTTTTCAAGACCTCTTAATTACTCTTTTTATCATTATTTGTCTATAAAACCACATCTTCACAGCTTCCAAATAGTTCTTCACTAATCTACCAACTGTCCATGATTCACTCCTGCATATCAAGATAGGATTCATTTAGCTTTTCAGAAATAATTTTTCTCGTCTCAACTGACAAAGAAAGATTGCATAAAACATTCCTCATTTTTAAATGCTAACTTTGCTTGAGCTATTCGATATCTTCCATCTGATGTTATCAGGGTTCCTAAGTACTTAAACATACCAACTTGCTTGAGGATCGTCCCATTTACTTTTATGTTGTATTTTGGAGGGTGAGTTTTCTTTGTAATTACTATTACTTCTGTTTCTTTTTTTTTTTTGCTGTTCAAATTAGAGCTGTAACTAATAGGAGATTATCACTATCAGCCTAATACGAATAACGGGATCAACTATTCGAATACTGTATAGTGTATAAAGTAGATGTAAAAAAAAAAACATTCATAATGTCAAATGTACGCTGAACTTTTACATCACAAAATGTAGTATAGAATAGTAAACATTTAAAAAGATTTTATGTTTTGCATCCTTCAGTCAGTCTGTGGTAACTAATAACTAGGAATGAAAGTATTCTAAGTTTTACAACAAGTTGACCATCTTCTTTATGCCCTCATCATGCACATTTTTCTAAACATATGAGAAGATAGCCTGAACAGCTGGTAGGATCACTGACCAACAGGAATTGCTGTCGCTTATTTCGCGTATCAATTGTTCAAACGGCTGCAGAATTGCAACAGTTCTTGTTGCTAGAGCTCACTGGCTTGTTGTTAGTGTTACAGCCTTCTTGTTCTTCCAGCCACATTCATCAATATACAGAGAGACAGCTCCCTTTTGCTCGATCAAACGCTTCAGCATCTGGTATGTGGAATTCCATCTACTGGTGTTTTGGCGGTCTGATTTGTTCTAAAATGGCATGGAGGCTGGTGGCTGCACTCGAAGAATGTTTAAAATGTCCCACTATCTTTCGTGAGAGTGCAATCAAGTCAGCAACAGATGGCTGTGTCAGAATGAAGTCACATATAGCCAGCTGCAGTGTGTGTACAAAACAACTCACCCTGGGAAGATCTGCATTACATTTTGCTTTCCATCACGTATGACCAAGTGGACACGTTGCTTTTCTTTATTCCACTGATTCATCATGTCCAGCAGAGCGTCAGCTAGTCGACTTCCAGAGTGTTGCCCGACATTAAAGGACAGCACCTTAGCGTGTAAACTTTTCATTAATCCAATGAGCTGTTAAGCTCAAGAAAGATGTCACGTTGTCTGCGCAATCCAAGTATCTGTAGTTAGACACACAAATTGTGCCTTGCTGAGGGCAGACTCGACACAACTCTTGAGTGAATCATACAACTTAGGTATGATTTGTTCGCTGAAGAATTTGTAGCTTGGTAGCAAATTTCTTGGTTCAAGTGCATCAGTCAGTTCCTTAAAGCCACTGTCGTCAACGAGTGAATATGGCTGGATGTCAATGGCAATCATTTTTCTGACAGATCGGTGCACTTTTGTTAATGATGTCGTTTAGCCTCTGTTGAGTCCCTCCCGTCTGCTGAATGCCAGATGTCGAACTTGCCGAAGCTGATGCTTTCTGCTTTAAGATCTGTTTGTAATCATCCGGGTGTTTATACGACAAGTGGTTACTGAGTGGAGTTGCTGTAAATGACTTCGTCAAACTACCTCAACGAGAAATAACCATGTTGCGTAACTGACTTTTGTTTCATCGTTGCAAATTTCGAAAAATTTCCAAACTGGACTTTGTTTATCCATCGCTGAATAATGAATATTGTTATATAACCAAACTTTTACTGAAGTTTAATTTAAATTAGTTATAACTAACACTTCACCAGCTCAAGCTTCAAACGCTGAATGTCAACCTAGGACTACACTGATACAGTAATGCCTCAATCGAGTCAGCAGGCAACGACCTCGCCAGCTGCTGTAACATGTCACAGTGTCTGCGGCAGTCTCAGGCAACAGCAGCTACTGTGTTAATCAGAAAGTTATTTCAGTCCAGTTCACACCAGTCTAGTGTAGCTGTTATGAGTGCCCTTATTATACCATCTCTGGAGGTTGAACTGGGTCTATGGGATCTGCCTTGTCGGTCTGCCAGCCAGACTGAGATTTAGTAATCTTAAGATGGTCTCCACTTGGTGGTGAACTGATGTATGACAAGCTAGATGTTGTGAGCACCCTTTGGGAGCGAGTGACCAGTGCAGGTCCACAAACAGATCATTATGGTGTGAGCACCCTTTGGGAGCGAGTGAGCAGTGAGGGTCCACAAACAGATCATTATGGTGTGAGAAGAATGGCACTGCAGGGAGTTACCAGGGGATCTCATCGACGATTAACACTCAAAGGAAAGGCGAAATGGATGTACAATCAGACAGTTACTGGTACCATCAGAACTGGAACTCTTTGCTTGCTGCTGAAGATAGGGATAGAGTGCTTATGAGAATGTCCCAGTTGCTATGATGTTAATTCAGCATTCAGGATGGCATGATAAACCTTTAGGTACCATCCTGGAGGGGACACATCAATGAATCAGGTAACACACTATCAATTTACATTATAAACCCTCATTAATTTAAAACCGTGAACTTAAGCTGAAATTGAGGCTGACAGACTTACGTGTAACTGCAAAGGCACAGGGAAATTCTGCAAACTCCAGCTTACAGACTGACTGGGAGTGGTTGCTGAGGTGGCTGCTGTCAACGAGGACGACTGTGAGGTTGATGATGAATGTGGAGGCAAGGACATTCTTTCTTTGATCCCACACAAATATTGCTATGGCCAGGGAAGTACTTTGATTTTTTTTTAATAATTTTTTTTAAAAACTGTTTAAGATCCCTTCCTTGTCATTACAATCCCAACACTGCAAAAGGTAGAAATGCAATAATAGTTCAATATGACTTGGGTCAGAAAATTCAGATGAAAAAAAAGTAAGATATTAAGAATAAATGAGTCAAACAACAACTCAACCTCCCATGGCAACATCCCATTCCACTTTGTGGAGTCATGCGCATATTTATACAGCAATGTAGGTGAAGATGGGAGAATGGATAGATAAAACAATATAATTTCAAAAGGCAAGAGGAGCTTTCATAGGAAATCTGAGAGAAGCAGCTGTCCGAATGTTAAGAATGCTGGACTTTCATGCGGAGGGATTCAGGTTCAAATCCTCGGTAAGGTTGTGGGATTTTCCTGTCTAGTACAAAAACAAAATTCTAACCTGCACAGTTCTGCACTAAATCCCCAAAGACCCCATGCTTAAATCTCAAAAGTGGTAGATGTGAGCAGTAATAAAAAAAATTGGGGGGGGGGGGGGGGGGGGGGGGGTTAATGGAAATCTGTGGAATTCAATAAATGAAAAGGCGAGGCACAGATACTGGCTCTGGTTCAGAGCCATACTGAGAAAATGTACTGTAAGAATAACTAGAAGCTTTTTTCTGTGGAACCCACAGAGCTAAAGAAATAAAAGAGACCATAACACACAGAAGACAAGAGAGAGAGAGAGAGAGAGAGAGAGAGAGAGAGAGAGAGACAGAGAGAGAGAGAGAGAGAGAGAGAGAGAGAGAGATGGGGAAATTATAAGGAGGTACTACAGGAGACTGTAAAGCTTGGAGTGTTAGTGAGTATCAAGTAAATCTAAATGGATGATTTACCCCTGTATCTAAATGGATGTTTTTCCTCTATATAAATTGATAAGTTTCCAGTGTATATATGAATGAGTATCAAGTGTATCTAAAGTAAAAGGGCTAGCCTCTACTGTATCTGAAGGGATGCTTTTCCATTGTATATAAAAGTAAAGAATGAATATGAAGCATGTCTAATTATGGACGAGTTTCTGGTGTAGCTTCTAAAGTATCTAAATAGATGGGTCTGTACTTGTAGTTAGTTATTTTTGAGGCTGAAATGACATATGACTGAATTAACAGATTCACTGTCTGTTGAATATATGCTAGTACTGCTTCTTGATTTCATAATTTCTAATCGTGTCTCTATGAGTTACCACCAGTGAGCGATCAGAACAACAATTCACATTTCTTTATCTGATTATCTCTTATTTGTCACTATCATCTCATCAAACAAAACAAAATGAGCTACACTTCCATTTATTTTACCAAACAGACAAACACAAGTTATTGTCTGGACTGCTAATTTAATCCCACAATATACTATCCCTTTTTCTTCAATATTTCCAGCCCTTTAGTTTCAGACTTAGCTGCAGATAAGATATCAATTATCAATGCTGCTGTCACTATCATCCGCCTCCATTCATCTCTGTGAGTGTGACTGTCAGACTGGTCTTCACTGCCAACCAAATGTTTGTAGGTCTTATACTATCCTACTGTATTATAAGACATTTTATTTTTGAACTGAAAGTCATTATAAACTCCCAGTGACTCTGAAACAGGGAGGAATACTTAGAGATGGGGTGAGTGGCAGCAGCTGAAGCCAGAAATGTTTATTTTACCTTTGATGATATGGCACAACAGAGGAAACGGAAGTCACGGTTACTTGTGAAAGAAACCACTTCGGCCTCTGAATCTTTCGCAATATTACGTGATCATTTAACCTTTGACCCGCCGCTATCGCCTGCTGCGGTCAAGACTAAAATTGACTTGATTGTTGGCAATCCTTGTTGATGCTTTATTAACAAATATTATATACCTTAGATGCTGTATATGTACGTAATTTTATAATCAGTGTAGAATTATCAAATTTATTTGTATCGTTGATATGTGTTGTTTATCGATGCTGAATCAGTATCAGTGAATGAGAAGAGTGAGATAGATAGATTAGGATTAGATGTTGATTCGCTAGAAGAATCATTACAGAAGTCCACTGTGCGTGGAGTCACCTTTATTTTTGTTCCGGGACACGCAGGCGTCGATGGAAATGAAAGAGCTGACAGGTTGGCTAGATCCGACTATCACTACCGACGGTCAGCCTATGGATCATGCTGATATTATTATTATCAATGCCCTCAGAGAAATGGGAAGGATAGAGAACTTTGGTGGCAGTGAATCCACATCACTCGCCAGAACGTCAGACTTGGGAATTAAGATCGGCATAGCAAAAAACGAGACGCACACCAGAGACACCAGAAGACTTGTTAATCAACATAGAACTGGTACTATTAGCCGTCGGACCATGGGATTCATACTGAGGGAAGGATCTGAGCACCTATGGACATGTCCGGAGTGCAATGATGATAACCCACCTAACTAACTGACTGACAGATGTTGTTCGTCCATCACTGTGATGATCACAAGGCTTGTGACAAGCAATGAGGACCACTCTTTCATTCGTTATGAAACTACATTTGAGTTCTGTGAGTCAGGGGTGACTTATAAGCCCAATACTGTCCTGAAAGGAACTAGGGCAAGTGGGCAGGGAACAGTTGTGCTGCTCAGCTCTTCTTTTTCTTGAAGTCTAGCTGGTCGCTGCCCCTCTTCGGAAGAGTGTTGCAATAGACGTTCGCCATGTATTGCGGGCTTGTGCAGCCTCCTCCCAAGTGGCAGTGTCTGTATTAAAGGCTTTAAGTTTGAAGCCCCACCCTGGCTTTTGTCGGGGGCCTTGAATATAGTCGTGCCGTAGTTACGGCCTAGCCATGAATATGTATGGCCTTAACAGCTCCAAGTGATTTCTGGGACCTCTCCACGGGTGATCCTCATCCGCATGGTGGCACTTTGTGTCACCCGTGTTTATCGCTTGTGATGTCCTGGTGGGGTACAACTACCAACCAACCAGTCTTTAGCATCTCCTTGAAGTTGTTTTTTTTTTCTTGCCACTGTCTGAGCGTCTACCTTCCTGTATCTCATGATACAATATTATTTTGGGCTGGCAAGCCGATGGAGGACGTAAATGTAGATAAATAAAAAAACTAACGTGGCAATCTCTCTTTGAGATAGATGAAAACTGTCAAAACCCATTGGAGAAATTAGTTGTAGACAGTCAGTGTGGGTTTTTTTCTGACATTTTATGACAAAAAATGGACTAGAGAATTTGGTGACAATTGGCAAGATAATCAATATTGGAAAGAGAGCAAAAGAAAAGTGTAGATAATTAAAATACCTAAATGGCTTGGACATACTTGGCTGTGAATTCTAGACAATTAATATAAGCCAGACAAGTTCTTGAGGCATCTAAAGTTTCACAGAAGAATACTTGAAATTTTGTGGACAGCCAAAATTAGTAACCCGGATATTTTGTATGGTGTAATGCTGACCACATTACCCACCTAGTGCTGATTGGTCTGTAAAAATATTGGTGCTCTACCCATATGCACCTAAAGGCGTGAAAAGGGATCTTTACTTTTTTACTTTAGATATTTTCTAGGAGACAAGTACCCAAAGACATTGCAAACATCAGAAATGGACAGTCATTACTATTGGCCATAATAAAGGAAGAAGGAAACTGGAACAAAATCATTTTACACAAGTCACTAATAAATTTGTCTAAAAAAAAATTATTCATCTACTTTTTTTGATCAATGTATCAAGATATATGAAGAAAGTAATCAATATATTTGAACCAAGTGAATTATTAAATGGATAATATTTCCTGGGGCTTTTAAAATAAAAAGCAAGCCTGTCGAGTGTCATGTTGTGATCCCAAAACCTCTATCATTTAGGTTTACTAAGAATTTGATGTCAGCCATTTGGTTCTTTCCTTTAAATTCACCCCCGTCTCAGGGAATCCGAGATTTCATGATAGAGCTCCCTAGAAAGTCTTATAGTATAGGGGTGTTATGGTGTGAAATGAACATATAACATTAACCCCCCCCCCCCCCCCCCCCCCCATAATATGGGTCCATGAAAATCTCAGTCTGCGAGATGGGGTGAACTAAAAGAAAAGTACCAACCATTTGGTTTGAAGAAGAAACTCCTAAATACTATTTTTAATTAATGTATTCAATCTTGTCCTCTTAAACATATGCAATGGTGCGAAAACAGCCAAAAGCATTGACTATGCCTCTCGTAAACGGTCACAATATATAAGTCAGAAAAAGCAGTATTTACAGAGAATTGTCCGTAGCCAGAAGTGTCAGTTTCACGGCTTCTCTAGATGGAAAGGTTAAAGGGCATAAGTTCAGGGTTTGATTCACCAATAAAATTTTGTTATAACCCCGGGGATTATTGCAGGCATTATACTTTGCGCTATGCCATTGACAGATGGAGAGACAACACTCCATAAGGATATGATTCTAAGTTATTTTAACTTAACAGAGCATTTTTTTAGTATCAGTTCCAACAGCAGAGCCCCTTAGACCTTCTGTACAAATTATTGGTGTTTGAAAAAAAATTTGAAGAGCGGAGGAAAAGAGGGTAGTTTGTCAGGAAATATAAAGTAAAGTAAGTAAATGAGCCTTTTTCACACCTTCAGGCCTATTGGCATATAGGGCTAGATCTATATTTTATAGGCCAGTCAGCACTTGTTGGGTGATGGGATCAGCATCACGTTGGCCACCTTTACTTCTCAGGGCTTGTACCTGGTACCCATTCAGGGCTTGTACCTGGTACCCACTCAAGGCTTGTACCTGGTACCCACTCAGGGCTTGTACCTGGTACCCACTCAGGGCTTGTACCTGGTACCCGCTCAGGGCTTGTACCTGGTACCCCGCTCAGGGCTTGTACCTGGTAACCCGCTCAGGTCTTGTACCTGGTACCCACTCAGGGCTTGTACCTGGTACCCACTCAGGGCTTGTACCTGGTAACCCGCTCAGGGCTTGTACCTGGTAACCACTCAGGGCTTGTACCTGGTAACCACTCAGGACTTGTACCTGGTACCCGCTCGGGGCTTGTACCTGGTACCCACTCAGGGCTTGTACCTGGTACCCGCTCGGGGCTTGTACCTGGTACCCACTCAGGGCTTGTACCTGGTACTCACTCAGGGCTTGTACCTGGTACCCACTCAGGGCTTGTACCTGATACCCCGCTCATGGCTTGTACCTGGTACCCACTCAGGGCTTGTACCTGGTACCCACTCAGGGTTTGTACCTGGTACCCACTCAGGGCTTGTACCTGGTACCCACTCAGGGCTTGTACCTGGTAACCCGCTCAGGGCTTGTACCTGGTACCCACTCAGGGCTTGTACCTGGTAACCCCCTCAGGGCTGGGTCCACCTGGGAGTCAAGGTCAATTATAGAAAAGTCCCCCTCCCTCACAACCCTAACCTATGACCTTCCGATCCGCAGTCGAGCATCTAACCACTACACCACAGTGACTCCCATAAATATAAAATAAAGAGATATGTAAACAGCAGATTCTACTTTTGGTGTCTCAGTTTTTAATTTCATTCATCCCTAAGTGAGTTTAAGATCTCCTTTGTGGGGAAAACAAGAATAGACACACTGCCTCTCCAACAATCATGTCGTAGAAATTGACTGCTGGGAGCTTCCTTCAAAGTCAGAGTGCCCAGAAACAACCGTCATGGAACAACTAACTGCACACAAATAAGCCATTAAAACGGATATACTCACAAAACTCAGGCCCTGTCACAAAGTCAGAATCCAAATAAACGAACAACTGGGACTCTCCACCAGAGTTTAGAGCCGGTGAACAAAGAAGAAGAAGAATTTCATTCAGTTTATATTTATTTCCCAAGAGTGGCCTCACAGTTCCTGAGAAGTGCTTGTGGAGCCCTTAGGCTCTGCTGCGATAAGGCATTTAATTTGATGAAATGAAGTTTATCTTCTCACCTCTAACTAACCCTTTTATGGTTTTGGGTGGTCTTGCAGGCGGCAGAGAAAATTTCCAGCATGGCAGAACATGGAGCACACCTGACATCTGGTGGTGTCAGTGACACAAAGAAGCCAAGCGTTTTTGAAGTGTTGGCCCAAGAAAGTCTTCAGTCTACAGTAAGACCTGCAATACGACATGCAGTCAGGGTCAGTACCTTGTGTGCTTTGTTTTCTTTATGTTGTCAGTTATTTTTTGTGTGTCAGTAATATCTTTTTGCGACAACAATATCCTTTGATCGCAGATGCCCTAAGACAGCGGTTCTTAACCTGTGGGTCATGACTCTTTTTTTGGGTCAAACGACCCTTTCTCATGGGTTGCCAAAGACCATCGCAAAACAAATATTTAGGAAGTAGAGATGAAAAAAATTGTATGGTTGGTGGTCGCTACAACACGAGGAACTGTATTAAAGGGTCGCTACAACATGAGGAACTGTATTAAAGGGTCGCCACAACATGAGGGAACTGTATTAAAGGGTCGCTACAACATGAGGAACTGTATTAAAGGGTCGCCACAACATGAGGGAACTGTATTAAAGGGTCGCTACAACATGAGGAACTGTATTAAAGGGTTGCTACAACATAAGGAACTGTATTAAAGGGTTGCTACAACATAAGGAACTGTATTAAAGGGTCGCCACAACATGAGGGAACTGTATTAAAGGGTCACTACAACATGAGGAACTGTATTAAAGGGTCGCTACAACATAAGGAACTGTATTAAAGGGTTGCAGCATTAGGAAGGTTGAGAACCAGTGCATTAAGAGATTGAAAATGACAATAGAGTAGCCTTTAACCAGATGCACAATTTTACAGCCAAAATTTGTCAGTCGTAGGGTACAGTTCATAGCATCGTTCAGTACTGTGGCAACTGACATTTCCTTCACCTGTAACTTGTCATAGTCCCTTTACGGCCCTCATTATTTATGGATTGTTACATTGATCTGTTTCTACACACACTATGCGCCTTCTTCTGTAAATGGAGGTACATCAGGAAAGCCTTGCAAATCACAATGCCGGTCATCAGCTAGGGTGCGTGGCAAATCTTCCCTGGACTGACCAGATGACTACGATGATGATAATTCTGCATCAAAAGCGGCAATGACATCTTTGTCATGTTCAGGCACAGACACAATATCTTCAAAATCTACAGGCTGGGAATGAATATTTTCACTAGAATTGTCACTATCAGAAACAGCCGCACTGGCGTTTTTCTACCGAAGGTGTTACTGTCGGTCGGGTCTTAGGACGACTTTGAAGCGACATACCGTTGTTTCACTGTCTGTGATGTTTTTGATGACACTTCATTAGATTTATCAAAACCAGAGTTATCAAACTGTTTAGTAATATCTTCACGTTTATTTTAAAAAAAAATCAAATATAAAGAAAGTCATATGCAGCAACAGAAAAATCATTAATATGACCAACACGATCCCTTCGAGAATTTGCTCCATGGCAAAGATTTCGTCAGTGTGTCACCAACATAGGAGCTAACAATGAAAGTTCATCCAAAATTTACTGTTAACTCTACGAATTTGTTTACCTTAATATAGAGAAATGAATGGGCCAAAGCAGTGGCATAATGTGTGATCATAGTAGTCAGTGGGTAAAGGGCTAAAACTATTCATGCCTCCATAAACCAGAGCAGCTGGAGATTAAACTTATAAAATTTATACGCTAAAATGTTGTCTGTTATGTTACTGTGGCATTCAGCGGCTATTATCTCATTAACAGGTCTTATCTGAGAGGTATCCTGAGCATTTAGGACGATTGTTTCGGCACTTTGATGAAATTTTCCTTGTGTTTGACACAGTAGTGCAGTCGTACTATCTCAAAAAATATGGTAAGTTGTGTTTAATTGGTCTGCTAGTGTTGTTGTTTTTTTGTTTGTTTTTTTCAAATATATTATCCTTTCTACTTTGATGTGTTTTTGCATCTTCTTCTTTTTCTTTGTCTTTTCTTCTTCTTCTTCTTTCTTCTTCTTCTTATTCTATTCTTCTTTCTTCTTCGTATTATTCATTTCTTTTCTTTTCTTCTTCTTCTTCTTCTTATTATTGTTCTTGTTTGTTCTTCTTCTTTTTTTATTTTCTTCTTCTTCTTCTTCTTCTTTTTTTCTTGGTTCTTCTTCTTATTCTTTTTCTTCTTCTTCTTCTTCTTGTTCTTCTTCTGTTCTTCTTCTTCTTTTTCTTCTTCATCTTATCTTGCTTTTTGTTCTTCTTCTTCTTTTTCTTATTCTGCTTCGTCTTCTGTCTTCTTTTTCATCTTTTTCTTATTCCTCTTCTTTTTCTTCTTCTACTTCTTCTTCTTCTTTCTTCTTGTTCTTCTTCTTCTTTTCTTAGTTAGTCTTCTCTTTCTTCTCCTCTTTATGAAGTAATCTTTGAGACTTATTCTTCGTGTTATTCTTTTTCTTCTTCTTCTTCTTCTTCTTCTTCTTGTTCTTCTTCTTCTTTTCTTTCTTCTTCTTCCTATTCTTCTTTTCTATTCTTCTTCTCTCTTCTTCTTTCTTTCTCTCTCTTTCTTCTTCTTCTTCTTCTTCTTCTTCTTCTTCTTCTTCTTCTTCTTCTTCTTTTCTTCTTCTTCTTCTTTATCTCTCTTTTCTTCTTCTTCTTCTTCTTCTGTCTTCTTCTTTTTCTTCTTCATCTTCTTCTTCTTCTTCTTCTTCTTCTTCTTCTTGTTCTTCTTGTTCTTCTTTTTTCTTCTTCTTTCTTCTTCTTCTTTTCTTCTTCGTCTTCTTCTTCTTCTGGTTTCTTGCCATATATTCAAGGAAGTGCAGGGGTCTAGCCATGTACTCAAGGGAACATGGGGGTCTTCCGGTATACTCAAGGGGGAACGTGGGGGGTCTCGTCATATACTCATGGGAGGGGGTGTGCAAGGGTCTTGCCATATACTCAAGGTGGGGGGGGGGGGGGGGGGGGTGCAGGGGTCTTGCCATTTTATTCAAGGTAGGGGGTGCAGGGGTCTTGCTATATACTCAAGGTAGGGGGTTAAGGGGTCTTGCCATATACTCAAGGTAGGGGGGTGCAGGGGTCTTGCCATATACTCAAGGTGGGGGGGAGTGCAGGGGTCTTGTCATATACTCAAGGTGGGGGGAAGGGGAGTGGGGGGTTTAGAGATCTTGCCATATTCTCAAGGTAGGGGGGGGGGGCTGTGCAGGGGTCTTGCATATACTCAAGGTAGGGGGTGCAGGGGTCTTGCTATATACTCAAGGTAGGGGGTGCAGGGGTCTTGCTATATACTCAAGGTGGGGGGGGAAGGGGAGTGGGGGGTTTAGAGGTCTTGCCATATTCTCAAGGTAGGGGGTGCAGGGGTCTTGCTATATACTCAAGGTGGGGGGAAGGGGAGTGGGGGGTTTAGAGGTCTTGCCATATTCTCAAGGTGGGGGGGGGTGCAGGGGTCTTGCCATATACTTAAGGTAGGGGGGTGCAGGGGTCTTGCCATATACTCAAGGTAGGGGCTGCAGGGGTCTTGCCATATACTCAAGGTAGGGGGTGCAGGGGTCTTGCTATATACTCAAGGTAGGGGGTGCAGGGGTCTTGCTATATACTCAGGGTAGGGGGGTGCAGGGGTCTTGCCATATACTCAAGGTAGGGGGTGCAGGGGTCTTGCTATATACTCAGGGTAGGGGGGTGCAGGGGTCTTGCCATATACTCAAGGTAGGGGGTGCAGGGGTCTTGCCATATACTCAAGGTAGGGGGTGCAGGGGTCTTGCTATATACTCAAGGTAGGGGGTGCAGGGGTCTTGCTATATACTCAAGGGGTTTGTGGTTGGCGACCACTGACCTAAATAGTCACCTTTTATGACAGGCTTGTTGGGACAGCAGTGAGTTGGGACAGCAGTGAGTTGGGACAGCAGTGAGTTGGGACAGCAGTGGGTCATTTGTCTATTTCTCCCCAGAAAACAGGGGCCCCAAACCTACAAAGGGAGTTTACAGCCTATTATAAATATTCATAGCACTCGGGACATACCCATAAGTGCTCCGTCCTCATGTTCAGCAACAGTCACAGAGTTCCAATTCTGATAGTACCAGTAACAGTCTGACTGTATGTGCATCTGGTCTGGGTAGATTTTCTTGTCTTGTGAATCCACTGTCGAATCAGTGGAAGAACTGTTTTATTCCTGTGATGGTTGAGACCTTGTATGGAGATCTTATAGACAGCTGTGTTTATGTTCTAGGTGTCTTGTGCTGCTTTCTTTTTCTTCATGTTCATCGGCAGAAAACTCCAGCGGAAAGTTCTAGTTGTTTGTCCACTTCTAGACTTAGCTCTTGTTTCAGAACTTGAGTTTTCTGTGCACACCTGTTTTACAGATAGGACTTATTTGTATTTAGACGGTTGCTTCATCACTCAAGGCTGCTGTACTTCAACCTCGAGGGAAAAAACCCTTCGTCTATTTTTACAACATGTTTGTTGGGGGTCAGCAGTGGATCTCCACCCCCCCCCCTCAACCCCCAGAAATGGTTACTCAGAATTATCACTGGGAAATATTTTCTATTATAAGTCTGTGTCATTGTAAATTGTGTTGATGTTGCTGATCCATCTGCTCCTTGTTGTTGTTGTTGTTTGTTCTTCTTCTTCTTCTTCTTCTTCTCCTCCTCTCTTCTTCTTCTTCTTCTTCTTCTTCTTCTTCTTCTTCTCCTCCTCCTCCACCTTCTCCTCCTCCTGCTCCTTCTTCTTCTTCTCCTCCTCCTCCTTCTCCTCTGCTGCCGCCATCTTCTTCTTCTTCTTCTTCTTCTTCTTCTTCTTCTTCTTCTTCTTCTCCTCCTACACCTGCTCCTTCTTCTTCTTCTCCTTCTCCTCCTTCTCCTCTGCTGCCGCCATCTTCTTCTTCTTCTTCTTATTCTTATTTTTCTTTTTCTTCTTCCTTTTTTACTCGTTCATCTTCTTCATTTTTTCATCTTCCTTTTCCTCCTCCAGCTTTATATTCTCTCCTTCTTCTCACCCTCTTTTTCTCCTTTTTCTCTTCTACTACTGCACCTCCTTGATTCCTCACCCATTTTGTTTCCCAAGAAAACATCAACTTCCTTCTGACAGTTTGTAATATAAGTACTCCATAAAATGGCAAAATGGTAGTATAGCTTTGTATGAGTTAGTTAAGAGCCTATGGACCAGTTAGAAACTGATAGCATCAGAACAGTACATCATGTGTGTTAACTGGTAGTGTTAATACTTGTATATTTCCCAGGTGGATCCTTTGCAGAAAACTTCTATGATTTGAAACGAGCTCCCTCTGGCAGACCAGATCAACCCCTTCTATCAAAACACAGGCTTGCATCTCTTGCTTGTTTGGTTAGTTCGCTGCACTTGATTTAGTAAATATGAAACTAATTGATTAATCATCTGCTTCTTCTTCTTTTATTCTACTGTGTATATTGTTTGCATGTTATTTCTGTTAGTTTATTTTCATTCTGAAATGACATTCCTTTTCAACTCTCACCTTAGGATCAACTGTGTGATTACATATGTTCTTATGTACACATTGTCTTGGCCTAATGTTGACCATATCGTCCATTATGCGCCAACAAGTCTGTAAAAATATATGTCTAGCAGTATGTGCTGATGCGCTGCAGACATAAAAGAGGTCCTTTACTTCACTACTAACTGTCCATGATTCACAGCTATAGGCTGAAATTGGCTTTGTGTAGCAGGCAACAATTCTGTAACTAACCATCACTGTCAGTGATTTATTATGTTCAACTCTGTCAGTACCAAACAGATCATCACACATTGTTTTGTAACTCCTTGCATAATATGGTTTTCTGAATTACTTATGTCCCACCCATTCATTAATTTAATATTGTTTTTTGACTTTCCTCTGTTCAATAGAGCCATTATTCAACTTTCAATAGGTGCAACATTTATTAGTCGGAAGAAACAGTTTATTCAGAAAATAAGAGTTAAAAGTGAAGCTATCTAGGACTGAAAGATATTGTATTTTTTTTTTTAATAAAATATTTTTGTTTTATCCTGTTTTGTATTCTCCTGTCACAGTATTTGAATAAAATGTAACATCTGCACAGGTATTGATTCCATACATGAGACACAAGTTGGACAGCTATTATGAATCCCTTAAGTACGCAGAGGAACTGACGACAAATAGTAGATCATTTCTGCAGGTAACTTTTTCCCATGTTTTAGTGGTGGACTACTTGATAGTTTGTTTGTTTTTCAACATCAGCACCATGGTCCTTGATGAGTGTCTTTGGTGATAATTTGATAAATATTAGTGTTCTTTGTGAGGTCAGCCGCTGACTGTTGTTGCCAACCTAACGTCTGTTTTCTTCCCTTCCTGTGCTAACTTCTTATCTTTCTTCATTTTTCATTGAAGATACAGTTTGCTGGTTCTCACACTTTTAAGACCCTCAACCATAAAAATTTGATATTGTTTTGGAGTTTTTCCATGCTGTCTTTCCACTTGTTTGTTATTCTACCTCGGGCATTATGTCTTTCTGCTATTTTGGTGTTTGCTTGGCCCATTGTATTCCGGATAGGTTTAGCGGATAATCAGACAAACAAAAGAGGGAATGAAGTTTATTTTCAAATGGTTAAGAATGAAATTCCATCGTGTCCACCATCATAAACCATCCAGCATCATAAACCGTCCACTATCATACACCGTCCAGCATCATAAACCGTCTACCATCATAAACAGTCCAGCATCATTCTTTTGAGCAGCCTCTTCTACTGTTGACCTTTCTGGTCATCTCAGTGTCCTCTCATCACATTACCAAACAACCATATTTGTCTTTCTATTTTAGTTTACTTATAATGTTTGACTTTCATTAGAATTTTCCGGGGAATCATTTTTTGTTCATGGTAGACCACCTTCTTTTTCTTCTTCTCCTGCTTCTCCTTTTTTTTTTCTCTTCTTCTTCTTCTGCTTCTTTCTCTTCTGCATCTGCTTCTGCTTCTTCTTCTGCTGCGTCTCCTCCTCCTCCTTCTTCTTCTTCGTCTTTTTGCTGATACCCCATGACCAGAGTTCATAGTGGTCAAGAACTGCCTATACCTCTCTGCGGTCAACCTAGAAACAGGTTCAAAACCGGAATCTGGCCAGCATAGATAGGATCGACATATCCTTCGAAGTTGGAGCCCATCTCCATGAGATGCAGAAGTCTGCACACAGGTAAGTCAGGTCTGTAAAATGGATGTGAATGCAAAATTCAAGACCTGTAACAAGATCAAAGACCAGAAGTGGACAAACAACCAAGACTTTTGGCTGGAGTTTAGAGCTGGTGAACGCAAACAAGAAGAAGTATAAATGTCATGGTTTTTTTAAGTTCACTTACTGGTCCATGAAGTTTAGTTTTTAATTTTGACATTCAATGACAGAGAATTTTTAAACAAGGTTCATTTTCATCTCGTAGTTAATTGCTCTCTGCTATTTTCCAGCAAAATATGAATATGAAACGGAGGGTGATAAGACTGTATTTATTCCTATATCCATACATTCATTCACTCTGGGAATGTTTAACCCTGGCGTACACATTGTCGTACATGCTGGGGAAGAGCCGGTGGCACAGTCCCAGCCTGCATCTGTCCGGCACAGAACTGTGCCGATTGGATCCACAGGAAGAGCTCCAGGAAGCTCAAAGCAGCATCATCCTCCCTGGCCAAACCTGAGGTTAGTGGATTTCTTATTTGCCACTCTGTGGCTTACAAGTTAGTAAATTAGTTGGTTCTTTTCTTTTATTTCACCCCATCTCGGGAGCTCCAAGATTTTGCAGGGAATTCATAGGAAAGTCTAATCTTATGGTGGAAGGGGGGGGGGGGGGGTTAAGTTAAGTAATATTCAATGTTTTTTCCTCCCTAACATTCTATACTATTGGTCCTTTCCTGGAATTCCCTACAAAATCCTAGAGTACCTGAGATGGGGTGAAAGAAGAGAAAAGAATCAATGAGTTTGAGAGTTTTATGATCCTCGAGTAGTAAGGTTAAATTTCTGGGGTGGATTATTTATTGAAAAATGAGGGGGGGGGGGGGGCTCTGTTTTTGTAGTTGTCACACACTGGCAATGAAAAAGACACATAGTTTCTTCTTCTTCACATTCACCAGAAAGTTCTGGTTGTTTGACCACCTCTGAAGTTTGGTACTATTCTATAACTTGAGTGTTACATGTGTATCCGTTTTACAGATCTGGCTTATTTGAATGCAGACTGTTGGTTCCTTGCCTCTCAGGCAGATGCACTGCAACTTTGAAAGAAAGCCCACAGTTAGTTGAATCTTACAACACGCTTGTTGGGGAAGCAGGAGGTCTAATCTTGTTTTCCCCACAGTCGGGCCCTGGAACTTACACTGGGAATGCACACACAAATAATAGTTTACACCAGTGTTTCCCAAACTGTTCTTGGTCGTGGCACCTTTATCTAATTAAAATTAGTCTACAGCGCCCTAACCTAAGTAAAAATATGACTATTCATGTCTTGGTTGAATTAATTATAAAGCTTTTACAATATTTTGCGACGCCCCTGTGAAGAGGTAGCGGCTTCCCCGGGCGCCGTGGCGCACAGTTTGGGAATCACTGCTTTGCACAGTTTATTGCATGGCATATTTGGCTGCAGTGCGTCAGGTGCTTTACTACAGAATTTCTGCCAGCTTATGCTTTGTTTGTCCATCACAGGTTATGATAGCCACTCCTTTCATCCACTGGTGACTGGGTTAGGTTTTGTGAGTGCGCAGATGGCTGATAGGGCCAGTACTAGCACTGAAAGTTCTTGAGCAATGTGGACAAGGAATAGAAACCGCATCTCTCTGGTGACTTGCTTCAGTGTCTTTCCTGGCTTGTCTTTTCTGAATTGCTGCTGCAGTTCTAGCAGCTTCATGGGCCATGGCTCCTCATTGAAGAGAGGAACACCAGGATGAGCAGTCACATGCAACAACTTCCCAGGTTTTAGGATCAGCACAGACGTTTTTGAGTGAGGTCTTGAGGCTGTCCTTGAAAAGATTCTTCTGTCCACCTTGAGAGCGTTTTCCTTTTAGTAGCTCATCATAGAAAATTCTTTTTGGCAGTCGGTGGTCAGGCAACAGACTATTTGACCTGCCCAGCAAAATTGTGATTGTTTTAGAATCGAGTAAATACTGGACAGTCCAGCTCTATCAAGGACTTCAGTCTCACAAACACAGTTCATTTTACAACTGGACGTTTAATCAGAATGTTACTGGCACCATTAGTATCGTAACTCTTTGCTGGCTGCTGAAGATGGGGATGGAGTGCTTATGGGAATGCCCCGAGTGCTGAGATGTCGGTTCTTGAATCAAATCAAATCAAACAACTGGAAGTTTGAGCCAGCCACTTGGATACCATGGAAGTTTGACATTTACCACATGCTCTTTTTGTTTGTACATGCAGGATTGTCCAATTTTATTGTTTACAGTTTCTGCCAATTTTAGTAATCGCCTGTTTGTGTCTACATTATTTGAAGTCACTATGGGTAAACATTGTTTTGAATATGTTTTATATTTTAGTAACTGTGTCCATTCACTTGTTAAACAAAAGAGGTAACAAACATACATATTTCATTTTTATTCTAATTCTCTTTTCTTTTAACAGTTTCACCACTCGGTTACTGCATCTTGTCAAGATGATACTAAACACAGCAGCTGTGTGTCTATCCACGAGTTTGTCTGTTGGTATGTTTTTCCTCCAATTCCTGGACTGGTGGTATGCTAGTGACAGTAGCGCCACCTCCCTCACGGCGCTGCCAGTGCCTCTGCCTCCTCTGGTTTGTATTATTTAAATTTTGTTTGACTCTTTGTTTCACAGGTTTCATATGAAAAAGAGGTTCTTCATTATCTTACCCCAGATGACGTCACATGACAGTCCAGCATTTGAGAGGGTTGTGAGACTGGGTTTCCTGGCTTTCTGATGCTTTTAACGACCCCCAAAACATCTAGAACTGTCCCTAACCCAAACCCACCTACGTCCCACGAGAGAGTGCAGCCTAGGTCCCACGAATGCATGCAGCCTAGGTCCCACAACTGCATGCAGCCTATCTACCACCCCCTGAAATATTAGACTGTCCTGTGATCTGTGGATTACCCCTGTTTGGGATAGGATATTGAGAAAGCACCGAAAAAGAGACAGAGTAGTGACTGTGCACATACTGCAGGTTCTTCTTCTTGAAGTTCATGTGACGTTGGTAGTCATGTCTATTCACAGCCTTCTGTCTCATGTGTTTTTTTTTAAGTTCCTGCCGTGTGGCCTTGATAGTCATGTCTGTCCACAACTTTCTGTCTCCTGTCTTCTTCTTCCTAAAGTCAATGCGGTGTGGTGTTGATAGTCATGTTTATCCACAACCTTCTCTCACATGTCTTCTTTTTCTTCTTAAAGTTCCTGCCGTGTGGCGTTGGTAGTCATGTTTATCCACAACCATCTGTCTCGTGTACTTTCAGTCAACTCTGACACAGATGATCCTCCATGCCATGGTGTCAAAGTGTTCAGCATCTTTTTTTTCTCGGTCTCCCTCTGCCTCTGCTCCAATCAAAATTGTCCACTGTCACAATGTACTCCAGTTCTGTCTTTCTCATTACATGACCAAAGAATGTAGTTGTTCTCTTTCTGATATGGGCAATCAATTCTCTTTGTGAGTCAATTTCTTTTAAGATATCTTCATTACTCTTTCTATCTGTCCAGTGTACTTTCATCATTCCTCTTTAAAACCACATCTCCTCAGCTTCCAAATAGTTTTTTCACTAATCTGCCAACTGTCCCATGATTCACTTCTGTACATCAAAATAGGATTTATATAGCTTTTAAGAAATCTCTTTCTTGTCTTAATTGACAAAGAAAGATTGCAAAACATATTCTTCTGGTGACACTATGCTGATGTATATAGCTGTTATATAAGCCCTAACTATAACCACTATTAGAGGTTTAACAGGATATCTTCCCTCTTGATCTGCCATCCAAACTGATTTTTTTTTGTGGGAGTGGGGGGGGGGGGGGGGGTAAATCTTAGGATGGTAAACATTCATGCAGCATCCTGAATTAACAAACCAATCAATCGACTGATTGACAAAGAAAATGGACGAAGAAACTTTATTTTCAAAGCGTCATAATTCTTTTTTTCTGCGGTCTTTTTCTAGCCGGTCTTTCATATTAATCATATTCACTTTAAAAAAAAGGTTATCCTACCCTCGATCTTTTTTTATTAAAAAAATAAAAAAAATAGAGTCTGTTAGTTCATTATATTCATTTGAATTATTTGTGGTATCCATCATTATAATATATAAATAATTCGGACTTAAATAAACCACTAAAATAATCGGCAATCCACGAAATGAGATTCTGCAACCTTACAGGTATAAGCCTTGGTCCACTTCTCCAATATAACCCACATTTAAAGGAAACTGTGCTAGGTGTTATACATTTCATGTTGTGTGTTGTGTTCATGGCGGTTGTATTAAACACTGATTTGCACACCTGAATGGGACACGTTATATAGTCGACAGGCAGTCCTGAATGCTCGGTTTTTTTTTGAATATTTCTATTTAGCCGGATGAAAAGTAAATAGCAACTGTAAGACTGGATATGTAAATAGCAACTGTAAAACTATAAAGAAGTTTTGCCACCCCCCCCCCCCCAGTGACTTTTACCTAGAAAGAAAATCATACATTTTTGACAACTCTGGATAGACGTGTTTTTCAAACCTAACAAGTTTTGATAGTTTGGTCTAGACTCCAAGACGGGTTTGGGTTTTACTAAATTTATTGAGAACATGTCTCATTTTCCCCATGATTCCCAAAGATATTCACGAAATACCGGGAAATCTCAACAGAACCGATATTGCCTCTAGTCCAAATATCTCCTACTGGATTTAATCAAGAACTATTGATTTAACCTGTGATGAATTTAGTGGGATTTTTTCCCATATTAAAAATAATGTTTTTTTAATAT